AAAACCTAACTGGCCCTCGACCATAACTAAATATAGGTTATATTCGACCTCATTCAAATTAACACCAATCTGTCCCTCGGCCATAACTAAATATAGGTTATATTCGGCCTCGTTCGAATTAACACATAACTGGCCCTCGGCCATAACTAAATATAGGTTGTATTTGGACTCATTCGAATTAATACCTAACTGGTCCTTGGCCATAACTAAATATAGGTTGTATTCGGCCTTGTTCGAATTAACACATAACTAGCCCTCGGCCATAATTAAATATAGGTTGTATTCGGCCTCGTTCGAATTAACACCTAACTGGCCCTCGGCCATAACTAAATATAGGTTGTATTCAGCCTCATTCGAATTAACGTCTAACTGGCCCTAGGCTATAGCTAAATATAGGTTGTATTCGGCCTCGTTCGAATTAACACCTAACTAGCCCTCGGCCATAACTATTCAAAGGTTATATTCGGCCTCGTTCAAATTAATACCGAATTGGCCCTCGGCCAACATCAAACTTAGGTTTTGGTTCGACCTCATTCGAACTAACACCTCATGATCCTCGGGCGAAATTAAACTTAGGATATGTTCACCTTATTCGAACTATGTGATTGCGGCTAAGAAAATCAAGGCAACCTAACGACAAAATCAAAAATGCATACAAGCACGAACCACAGAAAGAGAATCTGGTATAAATAACAAAGTTGGCATTTCATACTTGGGAAATTTTTTACAAAGGCTGGTAAAGATGCCTACACAATAAACAACGCACAAATCTACAGCAAAACAAAAGGAAGGAAAAAGAAAAGCTACTGGTCGCAGCCAAACCCAACAGTGCCATCGGCTTGACCACCTGGGTCATCTCCATCTGCCTCTTCACCATCACCACCACCCTCAGGGTACGCGTCCTCGTACCAGGCATCCTCTTCAATTTGGTCCACGCCCATGTTTCCTTCATTGTCATCGGCCTCCGGTGTAGCAGGATCATAACCACAAGTGACTCGAGCTTCATGTGCCTTAACACGAGCATCTTCGAATACGGCTTCTAAAATTGTTCCCACCTTCATCAGATCTCTAAATATATCCAGCTGGACCTCGGCGTGAATCCACTCGTACAAATCTCGAGGGACATCAGCAAAATCAAAAGTGCAGGAATAGGATGGTTGAGCCAGCAATTGGGTCATCTCGACCTCAAGAGCGGAAACTCGGTCACAAAGGCCAGAAACCTCTTTCTCAAATTCTCCAATCCGCTCATCAAGCCGCTCTTCCTTAAGCCTGGCCGTCTCCAAAGCACTCCCTCGCTCGAAACAGAGAATGCGGATCAAGACCTCCAAAGCCTCCACCTTCCTCATAGCCACTGACCGAGCGAGCTCCGCCTTCTCGAGATCCTCTACCTTCTTGGCAACCTCAACACTTAGCGCATCCGCTTTGAATTGGCATACCTCAAGCTCAACGCGTAGTGAGACCACCTGGGCTTGGAGATCCCCGCACCGGGCTTCAACCCGTTTGCTAACTTCGAGCTCTTCTTCTTTATATGTCAATGTCCCCTCAAGGACACTACATTTCTTGATGACCCTCACCAGCTCGTCATCTTTTTACTTCAGCTCGTCTTGAAGCGTCTGTAAATTGCCCTAATTGCCAAAACATCTACGGATCTCCCGATACTTGCTACGGTACTCGAAGTATTTGCGATGAACCCTCGTAAAGACAGCCTTGCGCCTCTCCTCCCTTCGGGCGCTTTCAGTTTCCAAGATCACAGTCTGCAATCACAGTAAGAAGGGTCAAATAAAAGAACGTCTTTGCTGACAAAGGCGAATCAATAGGGTGAAGACCAAAAACCAGAATAAAGCAGACAAGGAAAAGAAACTGTAAAAATTTTACCCTTAGAGCAAGGCCGGCTATCCTCCTCGATAAGGTGGTGCCATCTAGCTCCGCAAGGGTTACACCCTCCATATCGGAACAAAGGGGACTGAGGGCAGGGACCACGTTCTCTGTGTTATTCAAAAGATCACGATCCATGGGGATCGTGATAGTCTGCGTGGACCCTTCCGGCCTCACTTCGAGCTGAGTAAATCCCTCTTCTATCATCCTCAGCTTTGCAGCATCAAGATTTGAGCCCGCCTCATAGCCATCCTCGGCCACGCCTTTATCTCTACCATCAGCCAGTTGTGAGGCCGACGGCTCATCCTGCCGTAGAGTACCAAAAACCCTAGCAGATGGCCCTTCGGTTTCCATAGTTGCTGAATGAAGAGATACGCCCTTTGCGGCCTCAGCTGATATCGGGATCTCAGGTGCCAACTCGGCGTCGTCTTTGAGTATTATGGTCGGCATCTCGTGAAGGGCAAAATCATCCCCCGCAGAATCTACAGCTCGAACAACCCCGTCACCAACACACACTGACCTTCCCTTATGGGGCACCAAAGTCCCATCATTTGACAATGATTCCTCTTCCTCGTCTACAAGATGGAATAAAAGGGGAAGCTGGAAGCTCCGTAGTCGATATATTTGCAGGCGAAGAAGAAGCCAATGCTGAATCAGCATTAGATGGCGTCAAAGACCAAACAGATTTAGCTGCGGTCGAGGAGGGAACAGAAACGGAAGAACAAGCAGGCCTAGCCGCAGCTGTAGGAGGGATAGGCTCCGAAGAGGAGGCATTTTTCCTCTTACAGAATGCAGGAGGGGGAGGCTTCGGCCTCCTTGTAGATTCTCGGCCTGGAAAGGAAAATAGGAAAAAGGTTATCACTACGACCATAAGTAGACTAAACAAAGGTGACTAAGAATCCAAAACAAAGAAACTCACCGGAAAGGCATGAGCAGGCCCGAACTTCATTAAAAAGCCCGGCCACTCACGAATTCCGGCAATATGAGGAAGAAGACGGCCGACCCTATCGAAAATATCCCCGAGCAAAGGAGGGGGCGCGGTCCTTGCTACATAAAAGAGGAGCAAAAGATCAGAACACGCGGTGGAACTGTACCATATCCCGCCCTGCTGGGACCAACTCGATGCGAGCAGGAATGTCAAATTTTGCCCTAAATTCTAGTAAATCAACCTCCTTCATCATCGACTCGGAGACCTCGAGCTCAGCCTCAGGCGCTTTTGAGAAATCATACCTGAATTTCCCTCTATGAGGAACTATCTCCTCCACCGTAGGGAACTCCTCATCCTCAACGACAACAGAGACACCCCTCGCGCGAGGAGAAAAAACCATCGCCAAGGAGACCAAGTAGTTTTCCTCATTAGGACTAGAAGACACGTTAGCCATAGTTCCACGAAGGAGAGATATTCGATGTGAAGAAAGATTAAAATCAACTCGAGTGAAGAAAGGTAAAAGAAACTGAAATCACCGGAACCAGTAAAGGAGACAACAATGGGGGAAGAAGGAGATGCAGGGATTCGATACAAATAATGCGTAAAGCTTGAATTAATACCCCCACACCCCTATTTATAAGAATTCAAGCACCAAAACCGAGGAATTGCGCCATTATTACTCAACAGTGGTATGGAACGGTAGGCTCAACCAACAGACGCACGAGAAACGATACAAGACCTCGGGAAAATATGACCGAATCGGTCGGAAATCTAGGAATTTATGGTTAAATCTGGGCAGTTGTTCCGTCGGAATTCTGTCGGAATTTTGTATAAAACTGGGCAGAATTCTGCCCAATTTCGAGCTACACCACCTGTCAAACTATTACAAACAAAAAAAATACCAACCAACAATATATTAACACAATCTAAACCAACGATACATTAATACAATAATACCAACCAACAATATATTAACACAATCTAAACCAACAATGCCAACCATTAACACAACCTAAACCAACAATACCAACCATTAAACCTAACAATTTTGGGCATAAAAACATCCAAATAGTAGCCCGCATTCAAGTTTAAAAATAATAGATAAAGTTGTCTCTCACAATCAAGTTTACCAATCAACCAAAACATCACAACTAAACTACTACACATCAGATTCAGTTTGTTCATCCTCATCATCAGATAAATCATGCCCATGTTTTCTCATAAATTTCTGCATCTTAACAAATGTTCCGTATCGGGAGTCTAATTGTTGCTTCAAATCATATATTTGCTTGTGCTAATTTTGATTTGGTGCCCTTTTTTGTTGGTGTCATCTTTCAAAAGCAAAAACAACTCTGCTTCAATCCCAAACAGATTGGGGTTGGCTATATGAAATCCTCTATTTTTCCATTTAAGCTCAATTCATACTATCATAACACAGTCAGTATATGTATTACGAAGATTCATCATGAATTGACATGTTTTAAGATTATCTAAATTTGGTCTACTTGATTGTATATGAGGTTTAGTCCCATCATATCCATAAAACTTAACTTCTACAGAAGAGGAAAGTACTGTAGAGCAGAGTTCCTTGAGAGTGAGAATCAACCAAAACTCCTAAATAAAACAAGTCTTAACCCATANGTTTATCCCAAACATCTTTTCTTAACCAGTCCGGCATTTTACCGGAATTCCGAGCAGCAAACATAGTGTCTTTAATCCTTATAGCAGCTTTCTTCTCGAAAATACTATTTATTTAATTTTGATGTTGAGGATGCCATGTACACTTTGTCTGCAATATAAAAAAGTAACATTAGATGAAGACGATAATTATTAAATAAATATAATAAATTGTTACCCTATATTGATTCCACATTTGCTCTCCGATTATGTACGGTATCTTTCACCAAGAAGTCCACGGCTCATGATAAAATGGCTTCAAAGAATCTATAACCAAATGTGTAGACTGAAAGGATGGCAAAAACCTGCATTAAAGTTAACATATATATAATTAATAAACATCTTAAATTTCAAAAGTTTTAATTGCAAATAAATATTTCTTAATGTTAACATATCTAAAAGTACATTCAAAACATAAAAATCGGTATAAGAACCTTCTTACCCATCCTTGTGGGGGACGATTATCAATCGATTATAACTATCAAATTGTACATCCCCTCCAAGATTCTGCCTGCGTCTACTAGATGGCAGAAGCAGCACTAGATGTAGCTGGGCGAGAGCCTCCAATATCCAACCTAGATATGCTGGGAATGGATGATGATGATGGACTGGAAGATGATGGAGCAACAAAAGACAAACCATCATGCAAACTACCATGAAAGCTCAGGGGTGCAGCACCTGGTGAGCCAGTATGCTGACTACCATGAAAGCTCGGGGGTGCAGCAGCTGGTGAGCCAGTATGCTGACTACCATAAAGGCTCGGGGGTGCAGCAGCTGGTGAGCCAGTATGCTGACTACCATAAAAGCCCGGGGGTGCAGCAGCTGGTGAGCCACCATGCTGACTACCATGAAAGCCAGGTGAAGATGATGGTATAGAAGGTGTGGGTACAAAGTTAAAAACGGTGTTACTTTGACTGCCTTTGGCAGGCATAGAATAATACTGAACTGAATCATTAGATGGAGGGGGGATAGTGAACATGGTAGATGGCAATAAAGTCGACTTAGGAGGATGAGGAAGAGGATGACTCATATTTGTCATACTTGAGGAAGTTGGAACAGATTGTTTTTTCTTCTTAGATTTCATCTTTTCCTTCCCCTTAGATGCCATATCCTTAATATAATCATAATAAAATACAAAACAAAAAATACAACAAGTGACAGTAAATATAAAATAATTAAACGACTAAAAAAATAAATAAACAACCTAACAAGTCATAAAAATATAAAATAATTTTGCAACATAATAGATAATTAAAGGAATAACATAAAATGTTTAACGTGTCATAAAAACCATACAACAATTCTGAAAAATATTAAATGATTAAAGGAAGAACAATCTAAAAAAGAATAACAAGTCAATCCGCATCGCTATCTTCATAGTAATCATTTAAGTCTTCATCATCGCCTGTTTCACTTTCATCTAGTGATTCTTCCTCATCACTTCTTTCATGTTCCACACCTCTATCTTCGTCCTCATTTGTAGCAAGGACAGAAGGATCAAATTCTTCATATATCCTTCATTATGCTGCAATTCATCTGCTAATTCATCATCCACTATTGATTCAACATTTGAAATGTCATTCTGGTACGCCACATCTAATGCATCTTCTATTACCACTCTACCCATGGGCTTTGTTTTCAAAACTACCCGCCATGCAGACTTATTCTTGCTCAAAGGATAAGGAGCATAATAACTTGTTTCACCTTTTGTGCAATGATAAAGGGATCATAAAGTCTATATTTCCCTGTGTGTTTAATTTCAACTATTTTGTATTGAGCGTGCACCTTTGTACCTTTATTCGGTGTTGGATCATACCATTTACATCGAAAGAGTACCAACTTTTTCTTCGGCCAACTTACAGCATATTCCAATTCCAAAATCTCTTCAAGCACACCATAATAATCAACATCTCCATCACCTTTCACCCACACCCCACTATTGTTGGTTTTCTATCTATTAGACCATTCTTCTGTGTGAAACTTGTACCCATTGACCAAGTATTTAGACATCATTCTTACTCTAGGGTCAGGTCCCCAAGCTATATCACGTAAAAATGGGTCATTAATGCAATTAGCTGGATCATGAACCGATATATATAATTAAATATAACTTAGAATTTTAAAAATATATATATATAATTAATTTACATATAATAAAAATCATGTTAAATAATAAGTAATACTTACAAATTCTTTAAACCACTCTGAAAACTTGGGATAAACAACATCTTGCCCATATGTACCCACAAAGTAATGCCATTATAACATTTATTAGTTAAATCATTGGTATATTTAATATAAAAGTCCGTAATATATACGAATATGTACTTACCTATAATAAGGTTGGACCTCAGGGCAATTCAACAATACATGTGTTGTAGCTGACTTTAGCTCCATCTTAGACAACCTTCGCTTTGGACTATTTTTTGGACCTCCTTTACCTGGTTGATTAAAAATGGAAAAGGGTGGTGCCAAAGGATCGATTTCGCCTCCATCGTCATGCCGATTCGGTCTATTTCTCAAACATGGAACATCATGTTCAAAACAGTATGAACAGAAATAAGATGTTTCTTTAGCCACATATGCCTCGCATATCGAACCTTCAATTCTTGATCTATTTTTTATGGTCCGTTTACATTTGCCAATAGTCCTGCATAGTGTTATTTTTAGACAAAATAATCTTTAAAGAAAATACAAAAGGTAAATGATTAAATTTCATTACCTCTCGAAGGGATACATCCATCTACATTGAACTGGCCCTCCAAGCCATGCCTCTTGTGCAAGGTGAATTGGAAGATGTTCCATTACATCAAAAAAAAATAAGAGGGAAAATTTTTTGCCAGCTTGTTTAAAGTTAAGATAATGTTACTCTCCATATAAATTAAGTTCTCCACCCTCAATATGCTAGAACACAAATCCTTGAAAAAATAACTTATCTCGGTAATCGGTTTCCATATTCGATCAGGCAATGCATTGAACGCAATAGGCAACAACGCTTCCATGAAATATGACAATCGTGTCTTTTCATTGACGCCAACTTCTCTTCTTTCATGTCAACACACCTGGATAAATTTGATGCGTACCCATCAGGCATCCTCAATGTCACGACCCCAACCCCGGTCGTGATGGTGCCCAACATATTGCTAGGCAAGCCCGACCAATTATCAATCATAACCCCTCTCGTATAGAGTTCATTACCAATTAACAGGGTTAATTACCATTTCAACATCAACAGAAGTCTGAAACGGAAGATAAAATATGAGGAAAACCATAAAAATATCTCTACAATAGCCCCACCAATCCAGTGTCACAAGTCAAGAGCCTCTATTACAAGTTTTAAACAGCCTAACACAAAGATAGTCTAGAATATGCTGAAAGGTAAAAGATAGAAGGAGAAATCGGGTCTGCGGACGCCATGCAGCTACTCGATAACTCCGGTGGATGATGATCAGCAAGAAAGCTCTCACTATGCCTCGGGAACACCTGGATCTGCACGCAAGGTGCAGGGAGTAATGTGAGTACTCCGACCCAGTGAGTAATAATCATAAATAATGGCTGACAGTATGAAAACACGTAAAGGCTCTAAGCAGTTCTATATTAAAGCAGTGAAATAACTTAAAGCAGCAAATAGTGAAGAAATCAAGTGAAATCTCTTTAAATCAGGTAAAAACAGGTAGCTTATCAGGTATTTAACAAGTATAAATCCGTTCGTCGACACAGTAACCATATATCTCTCACAATAACCGAAATCAAAATAACTGTTGCGGCGTGCAGCCCGATCCGTACATCGCTGTGGCGCACAGCCCGATCCATATAAATAGTCGACTGCTTTCACTGGGGGTATGCAGACTCCGGGAGGGGCTCCTATAGCCCAAGCGCTATATTGCTGCGGCGCGCAGCCCGATCCACATATATATTTGTTGCGGCGTGCAGCCCGATCCATATAAGTATTTGCTGCGGCGTGTAGCCCGATCCATATATATATATATATATAACATCCTCACCATTTGGGTTCTAAACCCCTCTCAGTCATTAAAATCACAGCCTCTCGGGAACAATAATATAAAGTAGGGATCTCAGCCCACATATTTCTTTCATTTAGGATTAACATTTCAAAAACCGGTTCATATTGGTTTAAACAGTTAGAAACATGACTGAGGATATTGTTTTTAACAAGTACAGTGAGGAAAATAAGTCATAATGCCCCTAAGGGTTCTACAAGTCGGCACAAGGCCCCAAACATGGCAACTAGCCCAAATCATAATGATAATTATTAAATCTCAGTCAAAAATGCGGTGAAATCATCAATCGGGACGGACCAAGTCACAATCCCCAGTAGTAATGGACCCCACGCTCATCATACAGCGTGTGTCTCACCTCAACATAGCACTACGTTGTGCAAATCCGGGGCTTCAAACCCTCAGGACATCATTTACAATCATTACTCACCTCAAACCGGCCAAAGCTCTAGCTCGCTACGCCCTAGCCTCTCAAATCGGCCTCCTCGCGCGTCGAATCTAACCAAAACCAGAGCGAATAGGTCACAATAGGCTAAGGAAACAAAACCCAAGCGAAAACAATCGAAAAATATCAAAAATCTCGAAATTAGCAAAACCCGAGCCCTGGGCCCACTTCTCGAAACTCAAAAGTTTTCACATCAACGGGTTCCTTATCTCGCCACGAGTCCATACATATCAAAAACTCTCAAATCCAACCTCAAATGGCCCTTCAAATCCCCACTTAAAATTTCAAAATCCCAAGCCCTAGTTCTCTCCTTTTTAGCTAAATTTCCATGAATTTCTAGGTTAATTTCACAATAAAATGACGTTTTTGGTTCATAAGACTTACCTCCAATCAATCCTCTTTGAATCCCTCTTAAATATCTCCCAAAGAGTTCTCAAAATGTTCAACAATGGAGGAAAAATAACTTAAGCTCGCGGAATAAAATATTTAAAACCCTTCTGCCCAGCTCCAGAAATCTTTCATCGCGTTCGCGACCTCAGTCTCGCGAATGCGAAGCAAACTTTTTAATTCCTCAAAAATAACCCTACGCGAACGCGACAGGGTCCTGCATACGCGATGCTCTAAATCCCCAGACCTACGCGAACACGTGCACACAAGCGCGAACGCGAAGAACAATCTTTCACTGGACCCCCAGCCCTTATACGCGAACGCGAGCCTCTGACGCGAACGCGAAGGCTTAAATTCCGGCCTTCTAAATTCCTTCTTCGCTAATGCGAGGTCCTTTACGCGAACGCGAAGAGATAAATCTCTGCAACACCTGAAATGAAAATCTGCAACTCCTCAAAGCCAAAAATGGTCCGATTGACCATCCGAAACTCACCCGAGGCCCCCGGGACCTCAACTAAAAGTACTGACACATCCTACAACCTCATTCAAACTTGTTCCAACCATCAAAACACCTCAAACAACACCAAATCCATCAATTCACATCGAATTCAAGCCTAAGTTTTTTAAAAAAACTTCCGAAACACGCTTTTGATCAAAAACCCAACCAAATCACCTCTGAATGACCTGAAATTTTGCACACACATCCCAAATCACACGACGAAGCTACAGCAACTCTCGGAATTCCATTCCGACCCTCGGATCAAAATCTCACCTATCAACCGGAAATCGCCAAAATACTGACTTCGCTAATTCAAGCCTAATTCTACACCGGACCTCCAAAACCACTTCCGATCACACTCCTAAGTCACAAATCACCTCCCGAAGCTAACCAAACCATCGGAATTCACATCCTATCCCTCTAACTCATAAGTCAACGTCCGGTTGACTTTTCCAACTTAAGCCTTCTTAAAAGAGACTAAGTGTCTCATTTCCTTACCAAATCCCTTCCAACCACAAACCAATCAACTCAGCCACATAAAACACGGATAACGAAGCATAAAGAAGCAGAGATGGGGGAAATGGAGCGGTAACTCATGAGACGACTGTCCGGGTCGTCAGATCCTCCCCAACTTAAACAAACGCTCGTCCTCGAGCGAGTCAAGAAACATACCTGAAGCCTCAAATAGGTAAGGGTATCTGCCCCGCATCTCCCACTCGGTATCCCAGGTAGCCTCCTCCACGGGCCGACCTCTCCAC